TCTTTAATTTAAAAAAATGACAGTTCAGCTTTGCCTCTTGTCTGCGTGTGTCGCTATTCTTGGTGAGCGGGAAATTATCGATGTTCGTGGATAATGGGCAATTTCGGATTCTATGTGGCTGTGGAAGTTTGATGATCTGATGTGGAGATCGTGATTAGATCTAGATCTAGTGACTCAGCTCTTGCAGAAAGACTGTGTTTGGTTTAAGTAACAAAAGTGAAAAGGAACACGTGAAGATCCAATAGCAGTCGTTTGGTGCTGGAGAAAAGCAAAATTGACAGCCCGAATAAACAGAGGGAAAGAGCAAAAGTGGGATTGACCCGTGACACTATATATTTCTGACCAGCCCTTTCAGATATAGTGTGTGAGGCGTTGCTTTCAGTGTCGTTTCTGTTTTATTTGAAAAAGGACGATGGCTTTTTACTTTTCTCAAATGGACACTGCCAACCGAGGAAGGTAGTTATGCCACTTACAAGATCACACAGTTATTGTTATCGCCATAATTCTCATGGCTCTCCTCCTCCTCCTCGTCCTCGTCCTCATCCTCCTCCTGATCATCATCATCATCATCATCATCATCATCATCATCATCATCATCATCATCATTACCACCACCACCACCACCACAACCATCATCATCATCGTCATCATCATCATCGTTGTTGTTGTCACCAGTGGGAACAATTTCTATACATAATAAGGCTTGCCATTTCTCTCAAGGCCCTATAATACAGCTTGACTTAATCCTAGACCAGCCTTTAGACTCGGGGCTCAGTCCATTTCAGTCCATTTCTGATAATAAATATGCATATAATTTGTTGCTCTCTTCAACCGTAATAGCCAAAGATAATATCATTTCTAAAATCAATCTCCCCCTCAGCCAGTCTTCTGTACTTGTCTCAATCAGTCTATCAATCAATACCTTATTCGCTTAATGAGGAAGTCATGCAGTCAACTACTCAGACACATCCACTCTCTCTCTCTCTCTCTCTCTCTCTCTCTCTCTCTCTCTCTC